AAAGGAAGGGAGGAGAAAGGAAGGGAGGAGAAAGGAAGGGAGGAGAAAGGAAGGGAGGAGAAAGGAAGGGAGAGAGAGAGAATGGGGGGGGGGAGAATGGGGGGAGAGGGAGAATGGAAAAGAAAGAGAAAGAAAGAAAGAGAAAGAAAGAAAGAGAGAGAGAGAGAGATGGAAAAACAAGAGAAAGAAAGACAGAAAAATCCACACAGACAGACAGACAGAGACCACTAGAAACATGACACCACAGACACATTTAACCCCCCCCCCCCCCTCTGTTCTTAGACCATACCTGATTGCGCGTGGTGCCAGAATACCACAGTGCCTTCCTCAACTCCCGGCCTGGCCCTGTGGCGGAGTTGATGGCCCTCAACTGAACACCTTTCTCGGCCAAGCTGTTCCAGAGCTGAGTTTCTCTCTTCCACGTCATGGCGTAGAACTTGGCGTTGGACTGGTAACTGAAAATAAAAAGGTTTATTGGTAGAAGCTGTGAAGGGTTTTGGTGGGCTGAAGTTATAAAGGTTTGTTGGTTGAAGTTATAAAGAGGTGATATGGTGTTTTACTATTGCAATGGGTGTGGGATAATAGCTATTTAATGAGTATAGATGAAAAAAAAATCGAATAATAATGATATGAATGTGAAATAGGAGTAGGGAAGTAGTAGCTATTGATATAGAAGGAGAAAAATAGAAAGAAAAAAGAGGAGGAGTGGGAAGAAAAGGGAAAAGACAAAGAAGGAGAAAAAGAATAGAGGAGGAGGAGGAAGAAGAAAAAGGAAAAGACGAAGAGGAGGAAGAAGACGAAGAAATAAAAAGGAAGGACGTAGATGATGACAGTCGTATAAATAATGAAAAATACAAAACAAAAAATTACAGTAACGCAATTACCTAAAAACAATTCCAACATAGTCATCGTCCGAATGATCTGAGACGAAGAGAGTCCCTTCGTAGTCGACATTTCCCAGGCTGTGAGGACCTATGAAGAGAGGAGCAAGATTATATTTCCCCGACTCTTTGTCTTTCATTTCCTGTTATTTTTTTATTTTCTTTATTTGTTTATGTGTTGATTTTTTATTGTTTGATTATGTTCTGGTCTTTCCTTGTGTGGTTTGTGTTTGTTGTCTTTGCGATGTTTGCGTCTGGGTGTATTGTATTCTTTAACTTGTCTATCTAAATTTTCGTCTTTCTTCAGCTTTTCTTGTGTCTTGTTTGCGTTGCTTAATTTCTGTCTGTCTTTGACCTCATTTAACCTATGTTTGTCTTCTATCTTCCTCTAACTTGCTTTGTCTTTGTTAACTAGTTTTACTCTCCCCTTGTTTAATTAATCTGTCCATGTCTTCCATCTTTCTATAACCTGCCTTATCTTCGTCCTTCGTTAAATTAAATTATGTCCTCATTTAACCTGTCTTTGTCTTCCATCTTCTACCTTGCCTTCTTCGTCCTTCGTTAAACTCTCTCTCTATATACTTCCTTCTCCAACTAAACCTCCCATCTTTATTTAACGAAGCCTGTACCTACCCACAGCCAAAACGGGGTCGGTGCTTTTAGTCTGATGTATTTCCGTTCCGTTATCGTAGATGAGCCATTCGGGAAGGAAGATGTAGTGGTCGTGATCCAGAGACACCGTTTGCAGGGACCTAGTGGTAGGAATACATTACACATACTCATACATTTGCACACATACATACTTATACATCTTACATTCAACTATCAACACACATTTGCCAGAAAAAATAAAGACAGACATCTTTCACTGCACTTATGCGGTGGTTAGATTATGGTGCGAATAAATCACGGATCCTGATTAAAAAGAAAAGAAAAGAAAAGAAAAATCTGAACTCTGGGATGAAAGTCTTGTCAGGTCTCCTTGATTTTTATTTCAAGATACGACTGATTGTGTGTCAACAGCTAATGGTTATTGACGAATAGTTTCCAGTGAAATGCAGGTTATCGATTTGTGTGTTTACATTTACCAAGTAAAAAAAAAAAAAAAAAAAAAGCAAGGGAACGTTTTGCGCGAAAATATGTGTGTGTATTCTTTTGTAGATCTGTCAAGACTTTTCCCCTTTTCTTGAGAATATAATGCGTCTTAATGCTAATTTCCCCTACCTCATATGATTAAGTAATTACTATACAAATCAGCATGTCAAACGTCACTGTACTGCACTACTGCAGAAGTGTTTTCAGGATAATGACGATGCATTTATGTCCAGCTGCAATCAATCAAATCCAATTCCTCATAATGACTCACCTAAAATCAGTCTTATACAGAGTAGGATTCCTGAAACAGTTATCGCCGGCGTCCTCAACACCATCACCGTCGAAGTCCCTCCTGCAGGCGTCTCCGCGGCCGTCGGCGCTGTAGAAATCAGCGGTCTGGTCGGCGTTGGGAATAAGCGGACAGTTGTCACGGTCGTCCTCCACGCCGTCGTTGTCACTGTCCTTGTCACAGGCGTCACCGGTACCGTCGCCGTCTACGTCTACCTGGTCACTGTTGGCGGTAACCGGGCAGTTGTCCTCGCTGTCCTGTACGCCGTCGCTGAAAGCAGAGGAGGAGACAACTAGTTGTTTTATTCATTGTTCAGATAGCTTTTATGGTTTGTTTAATGTGGTCTTACTCTACTGAAGCCAAGAGACAAATCATATTCAGACTAATTTTAGAACTATTTTTGGACTTTCAAAAACAGATAGTGTTCATTTTACTGCAGCTGTAAACAAAATGAATCCATTTGCTATATATGAGACAGAAGTCATTTTGGAAGCCAAAATATTGGGACCTGCTATACGATATACGATATACCATATATCTGAAAGATCTCGTCAACTGTAAATAAACTAAATAAATTGACTTTATATCTAAACTGATACAGAAACTACAAAGGAGTTAAAAGCATAGCCGCGTTTCGAGATATATGCGTGTTATGTGCCATTAAAATAAATAGTAAATATAGTCGACAGAAGTTTACGGAACGAATTACCGATCCGAGTCATTATCGTAGTCACAAGCATCTCCTGCTGCGTCTCCGTCCTTATTCTCTTGCCAGGGGTTGGGGTACTCGAGGCAGTTGTCGCATTCATCGCCTACACCGTCGCCGTCAGTGTCGTTCTGGTGGGCGTTGGGGATGAAAGGGCAGTTGTCCATTTCGTTGAGGATCCCTGGGCAGAGGGAAGCGGCAATGAATCTCTGGTTTGATTTGTTTCGCTCTCTCTCTCTCTCTCTCTCTCTCTCTCTCTCTCTCTCTCTCTCGTTCTCTAACTTTCTATCTGACAGGTCTTTTCTCTCCCTTTCCCTTATCCACTAACTCTTTCACTCTCACCCACCCACTAACTTTATATTTCTCTTATTCTTGTCCCCTCTCTTCTCCCCTCCTCTCCTCTCTTCTCCTTCCTCCCTACCTGCTTCCCCCCCCTTTTCTCTCTCTCTCTCTTTCTCTAGCTTTCTCTCCCTTCCTCCCCCTTTCTCCTCTCCTCTTCCTCTTACTCAATCACGGACAAACAAAAAAACAAAAACACGACACCCCACCGTCATCATCTATATCCTCGTCACAGTCATCGCCAGCTGAGTCCCCGTCGGTGTCCCTCTGCTCGGGGTTTGGGACGGAGGGGCAGTTATCACAGACGTCGCCCCTTCTGTCCAAGTCCGCGTCCTCTTGTAAGGGGTTATGGACCAGGGGACAGTTATCCTTTTTTATGGGAGGGGGGGGGGTAATTGAAAGGGAAGAAAACGTCTCCGTTATTGTAACCTTTTTTGTGGAAGGGAAAAAAAAAGGAAGGAAGGAAAGGAAGGAAAGAAGGAAGGGAAGAAGAAAGAAGATAAAAGAATGAAAGAGTCTCCGTTATTCTGCTTTGACTTTGTATTTGGAAAGGATTTCTTTATTTTTTATGAAATTTTATTATTATTTTTTTAAGGGGAAAAATTCTCCGTTAGTGAGACTTTATTTGCAGGTAGAAAAGTAATCAGCTGGAAGCATTATCCTTTTTGTGTGAGGGAAAATAATCTCTTGGAAGCAGCTAATTTTTTGTAGGATGAGGGAAAACATATCTTGCGTTAGTGGGGTTTGATTTCAAAGTGGTAAAAGGATCTGGAAGAGGTATTCTTTTTGTGGGATAAAAAATGTTCATTGTGATTTGATTAACGCGTGGAAAAGAATCAGGTGGTAATATGCCACGTCTGGCAATGTACAGAAATAGCGGTTGATTGCGCAGGATCAATGCATTAAATAAAAAGAACAAAAAAAAAAAAAAAAAAATACTGAATAAATAAATAATCACAAGTTGTAATGCCCTCTGATGAGTCGGGAGCCATAACCATACCTCGAAGGTGTCAAAGTCATCGCCGTCAGCGTCGTCATCACAGGCATCCCCTACTGCGTCGCCGTCAGTATCCTCTTGGCCGGAGTTTGGCACTGTAATGCAATTGTCTTGGCGGCAGTGAGGGTCAGAGCAGCCGAGGTCACTGTCCGGGTAGCCGTCCAGGTCAGAGTCGGGGCCGCAGTCCACGTCGTCTCCCGCAGAACCAACACCGCACTGGAGAGAAGAGGAATAAGAAGAAAAATGAGAATAACAAAATACATTATAATTCCCTTCTTAAAATGTGTATCAGATCCATTCCCTCCTTGAAAGCAAAAGGAAGATCCGCTCTGAACATAAACACATCTCGAATAACACCACAGCCACACCCAGACGTCCTACTAAGTGTGTCCCACCTTACACAGTACTCCGTCCCCCTCACGGCCAGGGGGACAAGGGCCGCAGGAGTAGAAGGGGGCGTCGGTCGTTGGGCTACACGAAACTCCCGGGAAGCAAGGCTCTTGGCTACATGCATCTGGTAGGAGGGTGGGTGACCAGTGATAGGCATGTTAGGAACGACCGTGTTAAATCATTTTATTTGATGGATTGGATATTAAAAAAAAAACTTGAGGAGTTCATTAGGTTTCACTGTGTGCCTCATTAATGTGGTTTTATTTTATCATTTCTGTGCATTATTTTTCTGAATGAGAGATGGTCTCTTAATTGCATATCATTTTAAATGATATGGTTCTAATGCCCTGCTTTAGTTTGATTCTTCATGGGATTTTGAAGAGCTTATAAGAAACTTGAGGACCGGATCTATATCTATAAAGACAAACGGGGATATCTGACTTACCTGCACTTAACATGCTTCTGCCCGCTTCCTCAAATGGATAGACATTTGGACACGCATCGATTGGTGCGAAACACGGGAACTGGGAGATACCAGTTTTATCCCGGATACATTGTTTTTCTCCATACGTAAAGTTCGAATTCCAAACATAGTCTGTAGGACACTGGAAATGGATCTTTATCATCTGAGCCGGATCTTGGAAGCAGAGGAAGAACCGACGCGTGTCAAACGGATCACCGAAGTAGCCCTCTATCGTGCACTCGAACTTCCCCGAGCAAGGATCCTCGCACCGTTTGCTTTTCCGGCTGAAGTACATGTTGTTGGTGCACATGAAGAACCGCTGCACCCAACCGTATCGGAGCTGGATGCAGGAGAAGTAATCCGAGCAGCTTTTCGGAATGGCAAAAAAGCCCGCCTCTGTGCACGATAGTGGGCTGTCCTTGTTGAGACACAGGCCAATGCTTTCGTCAAAGATCAGGTTATCCTTGCACCTGTAACCCACGGGATTCGCCCCGGCTCTCTCGCAGGAGAAAAACCTCTGGGGGTCGTACAAGTCTTGGCGGAGGTCATGTGCCTTCTCGCAGGTGCACTCGCGAGGTACCCCTGGGTAGCACACGGCGCCTCCGAACTTCTGTCTCCTGTCACAGAATGCCCCGCTAGTACACCGGCGGATGAAAGCCTGCCCTTTGACACACAGGATCAAGTTCTTGCAGTCGGCGCACTGGAAACTGTTGGGTCTGGATGCACACAAATGAGAGTGCCTGGGGCTTGCAACAGGCGGGCTCCTGCTTCGGCGCGAATGACACTGGCACAGTCATGTAAAGTAAAACATAAGAGAAGTACAAGTATTAGTCAGGGAGAAATGGTGTCAATTCAACATGATTGATTAAGAATGCAACGAAAAAAAGAGCCATCTCGACTGCAAACTTCTGATACAGACAAGAACATACAACATATCCCTTCGCGAATGTTGCAAAATAACTTGGCGAAACTCACCCGACCATCGCCACTGCAAGTCCTGGCAGTGGCATTGTACACAAAGCCCCGGCAGTAATCCCTGGTCACGACGTAGCCGCCGTTGCTGTCAGAGGTGCAATCGTAAAACCGCCCACATTCACTGAGGTCAGGAAACCTTCCCTCTTCTGGACACTCGAGTCTGCGGAGGTCGCTGCTTTTACCCAAATTTTATTTTTGTTTATAATATAGTTGGTAAACAAGACAAACCCACACCCACCCACACACAAAGAGACGCGCGCACACCCACACACACCCACGCACACACACACACCCACGCACACACACACCCACGCGCGCACACACCCACGCACACACACACACCCACGCACACACACACACCCACGCACACACACACACACCCACGCACACACACACACACCCACGCACACACCCACGCACACACACACCCACGCGCACACACACCCACGCACACACACACATTGGTGAAGAAACTCGCCATAAACACAAAAAACACTTTCCATGCCACACCACCAAATAACACAAACACCGGACGTTGCAGGGGGACGTTATGCGAATCGAAGGCGTTGCAGAGTGAGGTTACGCATATTGAACACGTTACAGAATGAGGCTACGCAACTCTAAAGCTTATACACGGTAAATATTCTGTCCAGTGACGTCATTTTCTCGGGATTCCACGTGTACTTAAGCTACTGTATTACGTAATAGATAGGATTTGTCTACTATTCTTGTATCCGGTCGTCCTTCCCTTTGGTGGGAATTATAAAAGATATTTTGAAGATTTTCTTACCTTATTCACATATCTCATTGCCTTTTTAAAATTCTAACCATTATATAAGACAGTACGTGTGTATGTGTGTACGTGTACGTGTGCGTGTGTACGTGTGCGTGTGTACGTGTGCGTGTGCACGTGTGCGTGTGCACGTGTGCGTGTGTACGTGTGCGTGTGTACGTGTATGTGTGTATATGTGTATGTGTACGTGTGTATGTATGTATGTGTGTACGTGTGTGTACATTGTGTGTGTACATTGTGTGTGTACGTTGGTGTGTAGTGTAAATGATTTTCCACGTTCAGACCCTCGTCCACACCAGGCTGATGGGCCCCTTTCTAGAGTATCATGTTTTCTCTGTCATATTTCCTAATTGGTGGATCGGGTTCCTCGTATTTTCGTCCTTGATTCATGAAATTATTTTTTAATTCCTATTTATATGCATGGCTTATATCTATACTTATTCATTATAATTACCATTATGATTTTTTTTTATACATATCTGGATGCCCTTCCGACCGCCAACCGTCTCCCGAGAGTCGAGGCGACAATGTGTTCCATCTCCTAAACGTGACTTGTCATTGACTGTAAGCATGTCATGTTACTTACCTACTAGTTGCCATGACAACGGCGATCCCTACGGTCATCTGTATAATAGAAATAAATATGACTTTTAGATTTCTGTTTTATAGCACTAGAGATGGAAGTTTCTTCAAGGTAAATAATATAAAAAATTAATAAAAAAAAAATCACACAATACGTTTCCACTCTTAGCTGACAGATATTTTACAACAGTTATTTTCTTCTGCGAGTAAGGTAAGGTATCACCATCAGGGTTACCACTATTACCGCAGATTATACGAGCGTGATGCTAGAACCTTGCTTTCGGCACTGACTGGAGTTAGTAATGTGATTAGCGATTAGTGATTATTTTTATATGATAAAAAAAATATGTATTTACAAATTGTAATGTAAATGACTTGCAAATGCTTAATGATTATAGGGCATAAATGTGTGAGACATCAAAGGTGATAGAGCACTATGGTAAAGTATTGTGGCGAAAAGGGAGGAAATGAGTTAACGATTAGGATAAGATGTGCAATATGTCAAAGGTTATAGAGCACTGCAGGATAGAATGGCAGGGAAAAGGGTACAGAAGGGGAGCAAATGGAATACGGGTGGGGGTGGGAGGGGAGATCTGTAGGGGTTGGGGTTAAAGGTATAGGGCGATCAGATCACATGGAGAGAATGTGTGAGGAAGGGAGAGTAAGAGGAAAACTGCAAAAGAACCATTGTGAAAGAATAATACGGGTAGAAATGGTAGTTGTAGAAGTAGGAGAAGAATCTGGAGAATGAGATAAAGGAACAGGGGAAGGTGATGAAGTATCAGGAAGAATGTCAGGAGGGGAGGGATCTGGAGGACTTTGTTGTGACATAAAGGAGTCACATGAGCATCCAGGCGAGAGTGGTAAGGATAATGGGGAAGGAAGAGGGAATGTTGATACACATGGAGGAGGAAAGATTTTTTTTTTCTTTTTTTTTGAAGAATGTGAGGAAGAGGGGTAGAGAGAACTTGAGGAAGAGGAGGATGGATATCGGCAAATATTTTGAATGTAGAACGATGAAGGGTGGATGAAGAAATGGAGCATTGTCTTGGGTCATGTTTAGGAATTTTTAGAGGTCTTCAAGAGTTTCTGGAGGGGAGTTGGGCGGGGAGGCCTGAGAAATAAAGATTTTCTTATGTGGAGAAGGAGTGGAGGCCCAAGAACTAGAGAGAGGTGGTTGAGGAGAGGATGTGATAGAAGATGGGGTGGAATGTTTAGATTGCCCGGTGAAACAGGTAGAGTGAGAATTAGGAGGGGTAGGCACCCAGGAAGTGGTAGAGCTTAGGGTATCTCGAATTAGAGTGGAAAAGGAATTTGACTGGGGGAGAGAGGGAGTAGAAATAAGATGGTCTGGGATAGAGGGAAGATATACTGGGGGAGAAACTGAGAAAATGGGAGGTGAGCGGAGCAAAGTACAGTTTGAACTTGAGACCTGCTACCTTGGATTCGTGCTTGTAGGCAGGGCAGCTCCCATGAAATACATAATGGGCACCACCACAATTGGATGAAGTACATGACTGAGCAGAGCAATTTAAATGGTCATGACCAGGTTGGGAACATAAGGGGCAGCAGGCTGTCGGGCGACAGTGTTTGGCTGAGTAGCCATAACACCAACATTACTGACATAGAAGGGGAAGGGGTCGATATGGTTGGACAGGACAGGATGCTTCAATATAAACTTCATGGGGGAGGTCATGTCTACGGAAGCTAATCTTGGCAATATTGGTATAGGACTTACATTGGCCTTTGGGAGGAATAGTGAGCACTGGACTGCCACTGTATTATAGTCGATGAGGCATATGAGTAAGTCGTTTTCACAGTCTGATCAGTCCTTGTAGACAGGACAAATAATCGGACAGAAGGAAACAGTTCTGGTACAAGTATTAGGGGAGGAGTGAGGTTGGGCAGGAATAGGTTTGCCACTGACGTCAGTCATGATAGATAGTGCACGACTGTGAAAGAAAACTTGTCAAAGTACGGGGATGTAGGGGTAATCACAAAGAATCAATCCCACTTGGCTGGGCCAAAAAGGATACTCAAAAGGTTTGCAGAGGTGGAAGCAGTCGAAGGCCGAAGGCGGGAGGAAGATAGAGTGGTATGGAGAGAGGTAGTACTGTGGGGAGGAGGATGAGGATGAAGAGTTGCAATAAGTTTTCACAGTCTGATCAGTCCTTGTAGACAAGACAAATAATCGGACAGAAGGAAACAGTTCTGGTACAAGTATTAGGGGAGGAGTGAGGTTGGGCAGGAATAGGTTTGCCACTGACGTCAGTCATGATAGATAGTGCACGACTGTGAAAGAAAACTTGTCAAAGTACGGGGATGTAGGGGTAATCACAAAGAATCAATCCCACTTGGCTGGGCCAAAAAGGATACTCAAAAGGTTTGCAGAGGTGGAAGCAGTCGAAGGCCGAAGGCGGGAGGAAGATAGAGTGGTATGGAGAGAGGTAGTACTGTGGGGAGGAGGATGAGGATGAAGAGTTGCAATAAGGGGTATAGGGCTAAACAATGAAGGAGGCTGTGCAGTAGGAGATGGAGTGGTGGATGCTGGGAGAGAGGGAGAGAGGGAGAGAGTAATGCCCTGGTTGGATGATTCGGAATGGATAGAGTTGACAGCAAACATCAAGGAGGGGCCATTAGTATCAGTGGATTCGTGGTCAAGGGAGAGGGCGGGTTGTGGAAACCAATGAAATCAATTTTAGACAGGATAGTTGATAACGAGGCAGACCTTAATACCTCGAATAAGGGTAAAAGAATCTTCATTGTTGGTCATGGCGAGCCTAAAATAAATGTGAAGAAAAGGTCTATCCCTCAGGGTCTCTATGAGCGGCAAGGGGTAGGCGATTAGCCAAGGGAATACCGTGCCCATGGCTCCAGGAGGCCGTGCATGACTGACAAAGCCAGCCTTTCATCCTTTCAGTACGGCTCTCACAGCTTAGGAAGGGGACAGAAGAAAGGAATGACGAAGAGAAGGAAAAGGAAAGGGGGAGAAGAAAAGACCATGCAAAATTGTCTCCAGTCTGTTTCCTAAGCTCCCCCCTCAAAAAAAAAAAAAAAAGCAAGGTATTACGGAGGATAGATTTGCAAAATCAAACTTCGGTCCAGGCTCGAACAGCGCATTCGCACAGCATGCGGTAATGGTGGTAACGTTGGTTACCAATGGTTACCAATTCTACATGCTACCCCACATGGAATCCGACCATGGTAAAACACACACACAATATATATATATGTGTGTGTGTGTGTGTGTGTGTGTGTGTGTGTGTGTGTGTGTGTGTGTGTGTGTGTGTGTGTGTGTGTGTGTGTACATTTATAAATATATGTATATTAATGTATATATATAAATATATGCATATATATATATATATATATATATATATATATATATATATATATATATATATATATATGTATACATACATATGCATATACATATATGTATGTATGTGCTATGTATGTATACGTACATGTTATGTATGTATACATATATGATATACATATAATGTGTGTGTGTGTGTGCATATAAACATGTATATATATGTATATATATACTTAAATTATCTCGTATGGTATCTGAGCATGGTAAAGGCGCGGGCGTATACACACACACACACACACACACACACACACACACACACACACACACACACACACACACACACACACACACTGCTAAAAGAATATCACTGAGCGCCTATATTCATGGGATGCACTAAGCATCTGCATAACAACATTTGTACATAACCAGGTCTGCTCAGCTCAAAGCAGAACCCACGTGGGCTGGATTCCTCTAATATACACATAATGAAAAGCTCTCTATGATAGCGCCAGCGGAAAAGGGGATGCCGATTAACCATGTTAACTGATGGTAATGGTTACGTCAGATTGTGTTCATGCGTTTGCTTTTACCGCCGTGATAAAATCATGAACATTATGGGACAATTAAACCTTGGATCCATGTTGGATGCATGACACAAGTATCTCTATCGCGTATATTTTAGAGCGATTTGCTAAAATTAAGCACGATCAGCAAACATGTAGAGCCGTTAATGGAAACACTGTTATAGCTGTAAACATATATGCATATATGTATGTAAACACACAAACACACACACACACACACGAACATATTCACCTACACGCATACACACAGACGTGTGTGTATATGTGTGTACATGTTTGTATATATATATATATATATATATATATATATATATGTATATGTATATATATATATATATGTATATATATATATATATATGTATATATATATATATATATATATGTATATATATATATATATATATATGTATATATATATATATATATATGTATATATATATATATATATATATGTATATATATATATATATATATATGTATATATATATATATATATATATGTATATATATATATATATATATGTATATATATATATATATATATATGTATATATATATATATATATATATGTATATATATATATATATATATATATATATATATATATATATATATATATATATATATATATATATATATATATATATATATATATATATATATATATATATATAGTATATATATGTATATATATATATATATATATGTATATATATATATATATATATGTATATATATATATATATATGTATATATATATATATATATATGTATATATATATATATATATGTATATATATATATATATATGTATATATATATATATATATGTATATATATATATATATATGTATATATATATATATATATATGTATATATATATATATATATATATATATATATATATATATATGTATATATATATATATATGTATATATATATATATATATGTATATATATATATATATATATATATATATATATATATATATATATATATATATATATATATATTATATATATATGTATATATATATATATATATATATATATATATATATATATATATATATATATATATATA